GGGAGAAGAGACGCAGCCGGTGCCAGCGCCGCCTGTGTGCGCACCCGCAGCGCAGCGCTGTCCTGAGCTCTGTCTGGCGGTCGCATAGGACAGCGGTTTGTTTCACCAGGCACTCACTATGTCAACCTCCTTTCCTTGCTTTCTAATGAGTCTAATATTCTGTCGGGTGCACATTCACAGGCGCACTGTCAGGGTGCTATCGTTCTAACTATGTTGAGAAACCAAAAGGATGGGTCATCTGTATTCATATTCGTTTTAGAGGCGTTGTGGGTGTTGGCACACGGGAGAAGTCGGTATTTTTTAAACGGCAAGTTGCAAAACATAATGAGTAGGATTCAACCAACCAGTCCTTCTAGCAGCATAGTATGGTATATACTAAACGTTACCCATTGAAATTGTAAGTTTCTAAAGACTATATCCAGTGACCACCAAAGCTTAGTGCAACTTTACAGCTAGTTGATTTTTAAGTGTCATGTAACGCTTTAAAAGACAACTTGTGTAAGTACACCATTCTGGCACTTCAGCTATCAATGTGTTGAATTTTTTTTTTTAACTACATGAAAGATCTAGAAACTAAAGATACTTTCTATGGCAGGTTTATCCTTGTCTTATAGCATCTTCAAGCAAATTTCCAGTTTCTGCTGAAAAATACAAAATAAAAACTTCTTTTTCTGAGTTTTGTCTAGGAACCCAGTATACATTGAGGAAACAGTCTTTCAATTCTTTTTATTTTGATAGTTTCAATTATTTTGACATTATTTTTTCTCAACCAGTGATGTGGAAAAAAATATCCTTGGAAAAAAATCCCTTTAAATTTTAGAAAGCATTTTGTCTTCTACCCTTTTATCGTGATTACTATTTTCTTACATTTAAAACTTCAACCCTCTTAAACTAAACCAGATTTAAATACAACATGAAGTCTGCTTATAGCCATAAGTGAGAATATGGGTGTGGGATTTTCTATCATATAAATAAATACATGGAAAGATAATGGGAGTCTCCATTTCTATTTCTTGGTAAAAGATTTTGCAGAACATGAAAGTGATCATATCGTATTCTAAATCCTGAAATGATTCTCACTTCCTTTTGTTTTGAACTTGTTGGTCTTTTGTGATAAAATATAGATGAAGTATAATAATCCAAGGCCTTTCTTTCTACAAATGCAGGATAAGGATTTTCTTTCAATTAAAAAAACTAAGGAATTATTTTTGCTTATCTATCTATTTATCTCTATCCAGATTTAGTTGTTTAATACCTGGGTTTCAGGATTTAATTTCATACTTCTTTCTCTTACCTACCCCTTCATTTTCCTTCACCCTGTTTCTTCCTACTTTGAAGATGCTGCCTGGACAGGCTTATATTTTTCATCATCTCTACTGTGCAAGATACAAAGTTCAGAAAATTCTTGGCTAGGGAAGCCTACCCAGTGTCCTTGAGGGGGAAAGCTCATACAGAAAGTTCACAGGCAGACTAGACTGAGTTTCAGAACACACAGATGACCTAAGGGTGACTGGCTTTTTAACATGAGAAAGGAAAATTCACCAGAGCCCTTCTGCTACCCCAAAGGGAAAGATATGGGCAAAGTGACTACTAGGGTTCCAAGGCTGAAATACCTAAACAGACCACCACTCCCCAACTGTGCAACACCACCCAACCCTGTCTCCTCTAATCCTTTCAGCTCAGGTCAGACCTGCTCTTATTTACAGTGATTAATAACACCTCAGGTGAATATAAAGATTCACTTTTCTTTAGATTCAGTTCCACTTTCAAGAAAAAAGTGGCAGAAGTTCTGCTGAAATGAATTATCATGTTTGTTCTTAAAATATATATTCTGCCTTTCTTGTCCCAAGTCCAGTACACTACCATTTTAACTAACTCCATTCCCCCACCACACCGCTCCATGTTTACTTCCATCTTCCAATTTCATTCATGCCCTCTAGCCTGGAGTTGTGCTCTCTGTTGAGTGCTCCTGCTATTGACAGAGAGACATTGTAACTCCTAGGATGGACTTTAAAGATAAGGACCAACAGAGCTATTGCAATCAAACTATTTACAATTATTTTACATAATATAGCTCAGCATCACCTCTACTGACACATGGGGTCAGATAATTCTTTATTGTGGGGCGCTGTGCTATACTTTGCAGGAGGTTCAGCAGCCCCCCCTACTCTCTACTCACAACACACTAGTCTGGCAACTAAAAATGTCTCCAAGCATTGCTAAAGTCCCCTGGGAGCAAAATCACTATCGTTGAGAACCACTGCTCTAGAAATATCTCAGAGGAGTAGTTACTTAATTCATATCTGCATAGGAAGAGTTCTGGCATGAAAGAGGAAGCTATAATTTTTTTGTTTAAATACAGGGAACTTATAATCTTCACTTAGAATCACCACTTCATCATACATCTCTTGTTATAGAATATTTTTAAAAGACTAGAAAATACTCAAACTTCCTTAACCTCTCACTGTCTTCTCAATAAAATGTTAAGGGCATAACTAACAATTACTTAAATTTGATTCATGTCAGAATTTTTCTACATTATTCAAATAAAATATTATTGATTAACCAGACTATTTATTAATCAGGCAACTGTCTCTTTGTACTTTATACATGGACCCATGGGCCCCCAATATATAATATATTAAACTAAACATATGTGTGCACTCATACATATATAATTATTATTATACAAGTACTGTATGCACATTGTAAAAAATTACAAAATGTGAACAATTTTTAAAGTCACAAATAATCTCAATCCCCAGATATAGTCACTATTTTCATTTTGCAGTATCTCCCTAACATTTATTTTATATTGCAAAATCCTCCATTTTGTGACATTTACTAAACAAGATTTTTTTAAGGACTCAAGTAGGAAATCTGATAGCATATGTATTCACATTTATTAGATAAAAATGCAGTCTTCCTCTCAGTATTGCATTGTTAATTTTAATCAGAGACACACAAATTCTAATGGTGTCTCAAAACATTAGCATCTCTCTCTTGTTCTGAGTGTGTGAT